TTTAACTTACACCCCTCCATCAAAGTAACTCTGGAATACTCCATACAGCAAATCAATTTCCTGGATACCAGTGTGAAGATTTGCAATAACCACTTCATAACGACACTGTATCAACCAATTGTCATGACTATTTTGATGCCAGCAGCTTTCATCCTCAGCACACAACTAGATCTATCATCTACAGCCAAGCTTCACATTACAGCTGCATCTGTTCTGATCCCACCAACCGGGATGCACATCTTAAGGATCTGGATCAGGGATTCTTACAATCACAATACAATCCCAGATCTATAGCCAATCAAATAAACAAATCCAAACTCAGACCTAACTCCAACCTGCTACAATACCAAGCCCAGCACAAAAACAACAGAACCCATCTGGCTGTCACCAGCTTGAACTTCTCTGACTAGTGGTTTTCAACCTGTGCTCCACAGATTTCTGGGGGTCCACAGACTATGTCTAAGGGGTTTGTGCAAGATGACTGTGATCAATCAAAAGTAGGTGAATGCCCATAGTTATATTTCAAAGGGGTCAGCACCTCCATTCAAAATTTCCAAAGGGGTCTGTACTTCCATTAAAAAAATGTTTAGGGGTCTACAAATTTAAAAAGTTGAAAACTACTGCCTTAGACACAATAATGATATCCAACCCCTCCTGGAAGAGGACTATCATCTCAAAGAAGGTATGAGGAACAAACCCGAGCCAGCTTTCAGACAGTCCCCTAACCTCAAAACAGCATCTTTCAAAGGACAGACTACCTAGTTTCCATTCTAGGACACCATGCCCTGCAACAGCCCTAGATGCCAGATGCGTGTCTTAATCAATACAGACTCCATAGTTATGGGACCAAACAACACTGAATAAATATAGCATCCAAGGTTCATTTGCCTGCAACTAAAACAATGTCATATATGCCATCACCTGCTCACAGTGATCCTTATGTGCAAGAATGAGTAAACAATGATCTGACATCAGCTCCAGAAAGTCACAAAAGCCTACCTGTGGCAGAACACTTTAACCTCCCTGGACATTCCATTGCTGTCCTCAGGACAGTTGCTCTTAAGCAACAAAAAACTTTTAAATATTTTAAGAAAGGGAAATTGCAAATGAAGAAGTAATCTACAAATTGGATTGTGTTAAGTGCGATTGAAACAGTGACCAGAATCATATCCCATTACCAGGACTAGCTTTTGTGACCCCTCTGTTGCTATAAGTTGCTTGTCTCTCCCAGCACTGCCTCTCCCGATCCGACTCTCCCTCCTTTCATAGCTTTTGTATTCCAATCACTCTCTCCAGTTTATACACTGTTCTGTCCAGGTCTTTTCACAGCTTCTGACAAAGTGAATCTGGGCTTGTAAAAACTTATCCTAATTTATCCTATGATTTAGTTATTCGATAAGATGCAAATCTACCCTGCCTTCTGCTCAACTTTGAATAATGCAGCTCTCTAAACTATATTTTAAGCAAGAAGTACTGTTATTGGGCTATGAAGAGTTTATGTTTTAAACACATTAAGGACTATCACTTTGTCTATTCTAGCATCCTGTGTTCTACCAGAACAATAAATGCAACAACAAACCCCAAGAAGCAGCTTGTAGGAGTCAGAAAGTATTCTCATTGAAGGAAACGCTACAGTGGAATGAACAACAGGAAAAAAGAATAATTCATTTGCCAAAGTTGTCCTAACTCAACAAGAAATTGGAAAAATGCGGGCATAATCTAGAGAACTTTACTGAAACCAGGAATAAGTATTTTATAGCTGCCTTCAGAAAACAGTTTTCACATTCAAATTACTGTATTTAGCACTGAATACCAAAGGGGATAGATTGTTCAATTTTATTCAATTTTTTCAACTGAAGAGCATTTTGCTTAACAGCAAGTATTAAGAATGAGTGACTGGCTTAATGGTGCAAAGGTATCAAAGGAAGTCCTGGTAAGACCTGCAGTTTTTACTCAGCAAGACCAAAGGCAATATATGAGGAGTCTGTGATGCCATTACATTTTCTAATCTCACAGGACTAGGCTGATTTTTACAGGAGTAAAACACAGAAAGAAAGAAAATTTTATGTGGTTCAATGGCAGGAATACAACCAGGAATTAAATTTAAAGTTTAGCTCGGGATGGGAAAATCAGAGAGAAAAACTTCCTGATTGGGAACTCTATTAAAAATTATATAGTAGTCTTTCAAAGAAAGTGTAAAAGTCCCACAACTTGGTGCATTTTAAATTGTGTTGTATAATGTAATATTTAGAAGATCTTCTGTAACATACTATCATGTACCAGAAAAGGGAA